CCCGGGCCAAGGCGATGGAGGGCGGCGCGCTGCGGCCGGGCGGAGGAGGCGGAGGAAGGTAGCCCGGCCCTTGCCCCGGCCCAGCTGGTCGCTTTCCCTCCACGAGGCCCGCAGGAAGGTGACCCCCGGGCTCCGGTCGTAAACCCGACGCGGACCTCCGAGCCTCCTGATACCCGGGAAACACCCAAAAGCAGCTAGGTTTTTGATCCCGTTTTAGCCTGCTTTCCATTCCGATGATCTGAGATTGTGCTCCGTTTGCAGACATTAGAGACGGAAGACCACCGTCGCTTGTTTTCCCTCTGCGGACTGCCGGTATCCCTGCTATTTCTTGACAGAAGAAATCAACATCTTGGCTCCCGAGGAGCCCCAGAGAATCCCAGTCAGCCTGGTCAGGCGGTGCCCTGCCTGCAGCCAAGCTCAGAGCAGCCGCGAGCCTTCTCCGTCCCCATCTTGCCCCAAAGGGGAGCAGGCCGTGCAGCTTCCAGCAGCACACTGAGACCCCAAACTTCCCAGCAGCTTCACGTAAGTGGGAAATGTAACGGGGAAGAGGATCGAGCCCTGGGTGCCCCGCAGAGGACCATCCGGGGGCCCAGCCTTTCCTCCACTCCCGCACCGCAGGCACCAACCGCTCAGGAAGGATGGGGGCCACTGAAAATGGTGCGTCCAATCCTCAATCCTCGCCAACAGTCCAGAAGGATACTAGGCCACCAGGTGCTCCAACAGTACAAGCTGGGTTATGAAAGTCCCACTGTAAGTCACTGATGAAAGCAACCAAGCCTGGACCCTGATGGAAAGGGTTCAGATAACCTGCTTCTTGCCAGTCTTCAAGGTCGGACAGCAGGTGATAGTTGCTCAACATAGCTGGATCCAAGGTCGGTTTCTTGAGTATGAACTTGTGGATCAAGTTCATATAAGCCAGGTGGGTAGGGATCTAGCCCACAAGTAGCAGAGCTCCTGTCACCCAGGATCCATGTCACCCAGGATCACCCACCCACCACGCTTGCTCAGGATCAGCAAGCTCGCTAGATGTCTGCAAGCAGAGCATGTCCAAAATGCTTTAGCAGGAGGTTGGACCCCTCAGCCCCTTCAAACATCGTGATTTTACAGGGTAATGAAATGCTGTGTGAAGAAGAGCTTCCTTTCATCTGTTTTGAATCTTCCGGTTGGCATCACTGGATGGCCCTTATCCCAGTATTTTGGGAGTGAGAGAACAAACTCCCCTGCTCACATTCTCTAGGCCATGTGGGGCTCTATGGGACTCAATAGCTTTAGTGTTTTTCGTTGGGTTCTTGGTGTTCTCTTGTTTTCCTGCAGATGTTTTGTTAACAAACTAGGTAACCTCATCCTTGCCTAGCCTGGTAATGAAACATCTGCCAGGAAACAACCAAGCTCAGAGGACACCAAGAACCCAACAGTTCAACCCCGAGCTATGGAGGTTTTCTGCTGTTGAGTGTTTTTTCCCTGCCCCACGTGGTCCATCTGCAGTTCAGCTGTTGCACTCTCTGGCTGGAGTCTGGCAGGTGGGTTCAAACACCATGGCAAGGGGGGCTTGGTGGGACACACAAGAATTAGGATCAGGGGACTAGAGTTGCTCACAGTGGGGGTGAAAGAAGGGGTTCCTTCTGCCACAGGTAGGCAAGCCTTCCTTCCTTCCCTCCCGGCGACCTCGGCAGCCCAAGCCTTTCACTCTCTGGCCCTTCCAAGGCCACCTTCTCCCAAAGTGGGGCATCTCTTCATGGTTAGGTTTAGGTGCCCTGAGTGGAAAGAGATGCCCCACTTTGGGAGACGGTGGCCAGCTGAAGTTCCCCTGGCAGCAGCCAGATGGACTCTGCAGATGTGCAAATTGACCTTGCAGATTCTCGCTGCAGCAAACGGGCTTCTTTGAGGCAGAGGCCTGGCCGGGCCCTTCCTGTTAGAGAATTCTGATACTGTGGCAGTCTTCAGAATAAGCAGCCCAGCGCAGCTCTGCATTTACATAGCACAGCGGAGGGTAAACAGGAAAAGTTTCCAAGATATTCTGCCTGTTTTCTGGGCCCTAAAAATAGGTACTGATAAGAGCCATTGTTTCTGTCATTATAGTTTCCTGCCACCTAAGTTGCGTTTTCCTTTGCGAGAGAAGAAGCAGAAAGGCTCCGGCTGATGGTTGAAGAGCATTGTCTCCCTTATCCTGACCTGATTGTCCTCGAACAAGGACCAGATGAGATGCGTCCTTCCAGGAGGCACATGCCAAAGGCCCCCACAGGTTTGCTGGGACGCAGGATGCGGACACACCCGCTTGGCGGAGACTTTGCAGCCTGGCGGGAGTGAATTTCCAGGGTGGGCGAAGGGTCAGGAAGCCAAGGGAGAGAGTCACAGGAGGGTGGAAAAGATTCGCAATGAAAATCCGCACAGTCGGGCAGGGAAATAGGAGTGTTGATGCTCGTTTGGGATTTGCGTAACCTCTCAAAATCATATAGATAGAGATGAGAGAGTTAGCGAGACTCACACACACATGTAATAAGAGGTAATAACCACAATAATTCATTTGATTTAGGTGCCGCCCGGCTCCAGGACAATTCTGGGCAGCTCACAACATAACAGGCAAAATTAAATACAATATGAATAAGAAAAAGCAAGATCAATAAAGAAAAGGCAAAAATAGAGAGCGAGATGTCAATGTCACAGAAAACCTGTACAGGCCCCCTCCCTCCCCAAGGGGGTCCAGCCACCCAGGCCAGGCCTGGGTGAAGAGCTGGGTCTTGGACCCTCCAGAGTGCCGTCAGGTGGGAGCCGCCTGGATCTCGGGGGAAGAGATGAAGGACAGCCCTTCTTACTGCCCACGGTAAGGCCATCGGGGATGGAGACTAGCTTGGCCTCCTTTGCAAGAAATTCCAGCTGTAGCGCTGAGCTGGGATATGGCACTGGCAGAATCCATCCAGAAATCGGGAGATTTGGATTTCAGAGAACTGAAATAATGGACAAAGTTTGTACTCTCAGCTAAAGTGCGTCCTCATTTGCTTCCTTGCCTGCCTAGATCAGGGCTTCTTAAGCTGGGGTCCATGGATTTCAGGGGGTCCATGAATTTCCATGGGAAAAATATTACAACTTTATTTTCCCTAACCTCTAACTGAAATTTAGCTTTTCATTTAATAATGTATGCAGGCAACACAGTAATTTATGTCCTCCAGACTTCTAAATTGTTTATTAACTTCAGTATACCTCACTATTTAAAACTAGAAACAGTATTGCTTGCTATGGATTTAATGGATTCTTAAATCATTTAGATCATCATGGAGTCACTATGAGTCAAAAATGGCACATAATCAATAAAAAAAGAAGCACATAGATTAACTGTGCTCGAATATAATTCCTTTCCTTTGTAATGCAATCTATATGTATTTCATGTTATGCATTTGAATACATTTTTCTGAGAAGGGGTCCATGGCACAGAAAGGTTAAGAACGCTTGGCCTAGAGCATTTAGATATAAAGGAGGCTTCACTTCTACGTGCAATTTAGCAGATCATATTGAAGTTGATCTTTAACTGATGGCACGTGCAGGACTTCAACCTCAAGTCAGCTTTTTCAAAATTGCTTTTTGTGATTACCAGATAATGACATTTATTTATTTACTTAATTTTTAGACCACCCTGCTTTCAAGGTGAAACTAGGGTCCTGGGTCCCTTTTTATAAGCTAATATAACACTGATTTTTTTAATAAGACAGCATTTAAAATGGGGAAATCACTGAATTCATTTTATAAAGCTTATATAACAGTGATTTTAAAACCAGGCAATGTGCCAGTTATAGACCTATATCGTTAATTAATGTGCACATTAAAATCTTAACTGCTATTCTGGCTAAAAGATTACAGTCAATTTTGTCAGATATTGTTCACCCATCTCAATCTGGCCTTTTACAGTTTGCACAGCCTTTAGATACTATATGCTTACTTGTTGATTTGTTAACAATAACACAAAAGAATTTAGGCTCCAGAGTCTGAATATCATTAGATGCTGAAAAGGCCTTTGATACAGTTCATATTATTTTCTGAAACAAGTCCTGATTAGATATGGATTCCCTATGTACTTACTTAGGTGAATATCAATACAGTCGTGTGAAAAAGAAAATACACCCTCTTTGAGTTCTATGGTTTTACGTATCAGGACATAATAAAAATCATCTGGT